TAGACCATATATAAAACCCTGACAAAAATTCAGTAGAGACTCATAAACATCGGTTAAGAAGATTTGTGTATTTTGTGAAACAAAAGTTTTAATAAATGTGTGCCTTAAAATTTATATTATTTCTAAATTGATGTTCTTTGTTCTTTAAACACATCTTTATCCCTTTGAGGGCAATTTAATTCTAACTAGAGTTAAGGAAGACACCAGAAAGAGCAGAAAGAGAAAAATTACTAAAACATTTTATGTATGAGTCGACTAATCTGTTAAGCAAATACCATCAAACCTTTTAAATATATACCCATCATATGACAAGAATGCTTACATCATATAATAAAATAGCATATTTAGTTTTGAAAACAATACTTAACTTGAGTATATTATGGGTAAAGAAATTTAACTTTTGAGATACCTTTCCTCCTCCTCCTCCTCCTCCTCCTCCTCCTCCTCCTCCTCCTCTTCTCCTTCTTCTTCTTCTTCTTCTTCTTCTTCTTCTTCTTCTTCTTCTTCTTCTTCTTCTTCTTCTTCTTCTTCTTCTTCTTCTTCTTCTTCTTTTTAATGTATTGAACATCTTTGTACCACAATGATCTAACCTTTGCGGATAAAATTGAATTTAAAAAAATCTTCCTGATCCAGTTTCTCATTGAGTTTCCAGCAGAGAAGAACCCAGTAGACACTGTCACAATTGCTGCATGGCATATTATATTCATATCCAAGGCATCAGACAGCCAGAGAAAAGGACTGTCTGCCTTTTCTTAATCAGTCTTTCTCAATACAGGAGAATAAAAACGGTACCACAAGCCAATCAGCCCCTTTAATTTTTCACCTCACTTATAAAATACATGGTGGGTCCCAAGTGGGCAACAAAAAATGTCCCCCAATTAGGATATATGCTTAGATCTTTAGAAATGCTACGTACAGTTCTTCTTTGGTCAATGCCCAATGGAATAATTGTTTTTATTCTAACAACATCTTTAGACAAACATTTAGTTACCACATAAACATATCTGGTTGCACAGATCCTGGATACCAATGCTGAAGATAAAAATCCCATTTCTTTTCTATTAATTGTATGTTTCAGATATGTTTGCAAAATCTATACATGTTTCAATAAGATTGTGAAGTCAGAAATTTTATTTGACTTGAGTGTGCTCCTGTAATTAATGTCTTGTCAAATAAAGTCATATCAATGTCGTACATTAAATGTTAGGTCAGTTTAATAAAATATGTTTAAAAAATAGACTTATAATTTCTCTGAGTTCAGGCTGGGGAAATAGTTCCATCCCAGTTGTGGTGTGCCTAGGTCAAAAGTGAGGAGACTCAGACTCATTTCCGGGTGACAGGACCCCTCAGTCACTGAGTCACAAACAGGTTTTAGAGGGAAAACAACAAAAAAGTCATCTCATAATGAAAAGCTAAAAAAAAAAAAATCAGTTTTGGCACAGAAGAACAACCATGATGTCAGGACTTGTTGTTTTCTTGTCGCTAGTAAAGAACTAACTCTCTCACAAGTAGACATTTAGTAGAGGCCACAATAATCATTTATTATTTTCCCAAAGTTTATTTACTTTCAAAAAATCTTGCTGATTCAATCTAGAAATGAATACCTGTCTGCCATTAATCGTGGTTGTTCATTTATTTCCAGTGAAAACAGCACGGAAGGAATTGAGAAAGTATTTAAGGATGCAGTCTGTCTCATGTTGCACTGGAGTCGTTTGTCTGGTTGTTGAGTAAACTGAACATTCTGGAATGATGCTTTGGCCATTTCATGCAATCAACTCACTTGCTGCAAATGCTCTAAGTATCCATTGCAATGTAGCATCTATATCGTGTTAGCATGTTTTCCTTTCTAGAAAGATAAGGAGTGGTGCTGCTTTCTGTTGGCATAATCAGGTATCACCAGGCTGAGGACATCCTTCAGATACTGAGCCACAGGGATCCCGCTGACCTCCATCAGTATGCACAGTTCTCCTTGAGCAGGACACAGTGCAGTAGTGCAGTGTAACTGCCTTGAGAATCATGCTTGAGTACATCATGAAATACATGCCTCTTTCCTGATGAAAATGGAGCCACACTTTCCTGCTCTTCCCAGCAGATGGAATTGTGATTGGTGTGTGTTTGCCTTTTACATTACTGTTTGATTCCATAATAAGAACCACATGAAACAATTTTACTTTATTGGTTCTTCATTTGCCAACATGGCTTTTGTACAACTAATAAAGTAAATAAAAATATTTCCCATGTGCTTTTTTTTCTTGTAAAATACACTTGTTATATTAAAGATAGGCACATACCACTTAAAATCTGATCTGGCATCAGCAATATTGTCTTGCTTTTCTTTTCAAATAAAACAAAGGAGTTTCCTAATAGCACTATTGGCTCACATTGAGCTATACCTATGTATTAGATATTATAAGCATTTATGTAGAGAAATGATTTAGTCTAGTGACTTAGTAAACATTTTAAAATTGAAAATGCATTTCAGGAAAGAGATTGGTGGGATAAAATATGTATCTTCCAAATGTCCATGATAATTGAGCCACGATCTTCTCGGGGCAGCCCTTGAGAAAGTAGTGCTTATCCAGGGCACTTTCCTGGAGATAACTAACATAAATCCAATCTACCATGCTAGCATATGTAAGCCCATCAATCTGAAACAGGTAGATCTTGACCAAGGTTTGGAAATAGGCTTCAAGTCATGTTGTAAGTATACTGATTAGTCGTAAGTCCTTATAAGTTATAAATCGTTATTAGTTATAAGTCCTTATTATTTGAAGTATTCAAATTTGTAGAACATCCTCTTCATTATATGAATGTTTGATATGGAAATGTCATGAAACTGGGACTATAGGGATTGATTTTCTTCTTGGTCATCTTTTAAAGAGTAGCTGATCAAAGGATAGGAGGGGGGCTCCTTTCTTCTCTTAAGCTGTCACTCTTTTGGATGTTGACTCTCTAAGAAGCCTATGAAATCTATTAGAAGTCTCTTCCTTTGTTCTCTATTTTCAGTGTTTGGGAAGCTCTGAGAGATGAAGAAATGGTCTCAGGGAGACTTATGCATGAAAGAAGGTGAACCTTTGGAGAAATGACTGTTTGCCAAAAATGGTACTTTCTTTTCGAGAAGGTACGCAGTATAAGATTTTAATCAGACTACATAAGACTTAAATTTAACCAAATGGCTGCAAAAAATACTTTATAAATCTAATGTTATCCACCCATTTTAAAGGAGTGAAATGAGCTCATGTTGCTTTAATAAACTTTGGTTGAGAAAATTCTATTTACTTAAAATCTTTCATCCTATGCTTTCATTACTGGATTGCTTTCCATCATTCAACCTTGAGAAATAGAGAGGGAGAAAGTGAAAGCAGATCCCTACCTGGACTGTACAAATACTGGGCATCATAGAGGAATGACTTCTGCCTTAAAGAAATTAAAAGGATTTAAGTTCTTCAAAGTAGCCAAAAGTGTATTTTTATCACTATTGCCAGCTTGGTAAACAGTAAAGCCATGAAAGACACAAAAAGTGAATAATACAGGGGAAGGTAGAAGATGAGAGATGTTTGTACTTAAATGTTTTGAATGCAAGCATACTTCTTCGTATTTATCTGTATTTATATTAGTAGAAAGAAAATGCCATTTGGGGGCTACCATACTTTAATAAGAATTAATTCTTTGTGACCAATTTCAAGATCAAACAGAAAGCCGGGTGTTGATTGGCGTCATATTCCCATTTGTGTGTGGAGCAAATTCATAAGGCAAGTCTCGTGGTTGACAAGGCTCAACTTTGACCTTTCCCTAGCTCCAGAGCAGGCTGACTTAGGGAGCCCGGGCATGCTGCTGCACAAGGGAGATTGATGTGATACATTTCTGCTCAGATATCTCGCTCTCTCCCACACAGCTAGCCAACATCGGCCTATCACAGTGTTACAGTTTGCCCCGCTATGTCAGGGTTAAGGTCACGGTTAGGGCACAGTGAGGAAATGTGGAGTCTCAGGCTTGTCTGCACCACACCTGGGCTGGGAGAAACAGAGAGTTTCAGTTTAGAGCTCCTGGATACCACATATCCAAACCTGTACCCTCCTGTCCTCACCACACTACACAGGAACTATGAAAATAAAATTAGACATTTCAGAATAGGGAACCAACATGATCAAGGGTAGACATTGCTAAAGTACACTTAAAACTTCCAGAAAAAAAAATAAAAAGAGGATTTTAAGAAAAGACAGAATTTCATCATTTAGTTATGATCATAAACTCTCCCATATTTAGTTATTTGAAGAATGTGGAAGGATGATGGCAGGTGGTAGGCAGAAACTGCGTTTCAGTTATTGTCTCAGGATATATGGGAGAAAAAAATTCAAGCCAATTATAACTATATAAGTTGCTAAGTTCTGTATTTGCAAATATAACCAGCTTCTTATCATCTAGATCTTTTAAATATTTATTTTATTCATTGCCAAACCATGCTCTCGGGCTCCTGGGTAAATGATGAAATGAACACTAAAAGGAAGGACCCAGAGAGTTATAAAGGTAGCTAACCCTATGTAAGAAAACAGAAACCCAATGATCCCACAAATATTCTCTTCTGTGAGTCGCTTATACACCATACAGCTGAACAATATCACTGTCATTGCCATTTTAGTATGTGAAAATTAATTTTCATTACAATTCATATACTTGTCCTATGCTGACCAACAAATAACCAAATTCTCCCCCCGTGGATGAATTCCAACACCTGTGCTTGTACTCTGACAACAGAGTGAGCATAGTGATGTTTGTGACAGCTTAGGATCCTCAACAATGTTGAAAATCTAACTCTGACTTATCAGAGTGCTAATGCTAAAGTCTTTACACTAAAAGCAATCAAGGCCAGTCTTTAGACATGTTCTGCAAATTCAGCTTTCAGCCATACGTGCGTTAGGAACGCCAGAAAGTTTGCTTAAACTCAAACAGATTTGCTTCAGAGCAAACATCTTGGACTTTCAAATCAGGCAAAACTAGAATCAGTTGTCAGAGCTGTTTTATTTATTGTGATCTTGAATTAACGTTTTTTAATCCATTGGCGTTGCTGTGAGGACTAAGGGACAAACACAAATACTTTGAGCAAGACAAATCTTCAACACATTATGCTTCCTTTGTTTCTGTCTCCTTTCTTCTTTTCCCTTTTATGATTTAGGAAGATGTTTCCATACTATGCGATAAAAATATCTGGAAGGCTTAGAAACTGTCCTTGAAGAAGTTAAAACCTAATGTTATATTTTATGCCTGTAGGAAAAAAAAACACCTTTAAGTATCTATACTGGATAATAAAAGAAACAAAAACTTAAGAACCTACACAAATATTTGAATCGTATAAAGTAGCATCCCATTTCATATAGTGTTAGGAAAGTGAATTTGCAGTACTGATCAAGAAAGTTGGTTCTTGCTTGATCGTTTCCTGTTTCTCATCAGCTCCCTACAAAGTTCTTGGTGCTTAAAGAAAGTCAGGATATCTCAGAAACTGACTTGCCTTTATAACCTGCTGCTTCACCTAGATCAGGTTACTGGGAAGAAATCCAAGTCAGACCTTCTGACCTACCCCAAACAGCATGAAGTATGCCCTGCCACTAAATCCTGATGCCTGTGTGCCTCAGCCTGTCACTAAATATGATTTACAGGAACCTTTAGAAAGTCAGGTAAAGGATTTAGTGCCTTACATGTAAGCTACAGCTGCTGGCTAGTGTTTATAGTGACGTAAGTAAGTCATTTATTAAATGGCTCCGTCATTAGATAGCCCAGACCTTTAATACATTCTTGTGAGTGGGGGAGGCTCCTTTGGGCAGTGAGAAGATTAGCCTTTCTCAACAGTGAGTCTTTCTGACAAGATTAATGAGTCACAGGGCAGAGGGATTTGTCTCCCCTTTGTGTCTGTTCCGCTGCTGGTCTCCTTGCACATCTTTTCCTGGCAGCACCTGCTGTCAATGACAAGGATGAGATGCCAAAATAACATTCCTTTACCTCAACACTCTTCACACCTTCTCCCCACGTTCGTCCTTCCCGAGCCAGTTCATCCTTTCTCCTCTTCAGGAATTGGCAAATACATTACTCAGCTTGCAGTAAGGAATAACCTTCCAGGTATTCAGAAGAAATAATCGAATTACGATCAAGACTAGAAAGTGTTCTCTCTGACGTCTTTCGATAAACAAGGAAAACAATTATGGAGGAGGTAATATCAAAATCAAATAATAACGAACCTTGGGTTTTCCTCCAGAACAACTGCGATCGATCTTTACATTATCCCTTGTGCCAATTAGCAGAATGTAATTCGCATCCTGTGCTTTTCATTTGTGGAAGCGTGTACACGTCCCCTTTTCTTCTCTCCCTGCATGCCTCAGAAACGAGAGAGAGACACTGCCCTGTCTTTGCAAGCTTGCTTCCCTTCAAAAAGAATTACATCATGCAGACTATAACAAGTGTACTTGCCTTTCACGTAAGCCTCCATCTTCGCTTCCATTTGTCTTCCTTCCAGCTCAGTTTCCCCTTGGTCCCTTCCAAGAAGTCACCATGCTTTTCATCCATAAAATCCTCCGAAGGGTGTCTTTTGCTTTGACAAAGCACATTGCTCACATCTTATAAAAGTTAATGTAATGGAATTTCCCAGTTGTGATTTTAGAATCTGCCAGCAAGTTTTGTTTTTTTATGATGACCCCAAGCTCTAGTTATTTTTAGGTCCAAAGCATTTTAGGTCTAGAGTAATGGCCAAGGTTTAACAAATAAGAACATAACATGGTAGACTCAGTCCAGGCAGGTCCAGTCCCCTCCTCCCAGGCCGAGGCAAGTGACCCTGCATAGGCCCCAGGTTTCAAACAGTCAACTCATGCAATGAGCACAGGACCCAGTCCCACTGCCTGGATGCCTCCCAAACAGACCAAGCCAATCAACTGTCTCACCCATTCAGAGGGCCTGATCCAGTTGGTGACCCCTCAGCCATTGGTTCATAGTTCATGTGTTTCCATTCGTTTGGCTATTTGTCCCTGTGCTTTATCCAACCTTAGTCTCAGTCCTCGGGGGAGGCTTTGCCCTGGAGGAGGTGGAAATCGGGGGTAGGCTGGGGGGAAGGTGAGGGGGTCCGGAGGGGGGAGAACAGGAGAATCCGTGGCTGATATGTAGAACTGAATTGTATTGCAAAATAAAAATTTAAAAAAAGTACAGGAAATAAAACATTTGCTATTATTAGAAAATAAAAAAAAAAGAACATAACATGGCAAGATGTATAACCATACACAGGCCCTTGGTGGGTTGGATCGAGGTTTGGGGGTCCTGGAAATTCAGGAGATCATAAAATAGAAATAAGATAGTGGATTTTCAGAGCTAATGCAAATACTTCATGCTTACTTTTGGAATCTCATAATTATGTAGTTTTCAGTTCAGATTCGGCTATTTTAGCATTTTGATTTGACTGTAAGGATTAACAGAAGCAAATTTTATAAACAGAACCATTAAATCAAAGAAGCACATTTAAATTACATTGATTCTTCAAAATAGTTCTATTTTCAGAAAAGATTTTTTTACTGGGCACATGCATAAACCTTTACAAGGCATCACACTTGGAGTTATTCTGGGATATTCTGGAATATTTGTCACTAAAACCACAAATAAAGCCTCATAGTGCTCAAACACAAGACTGTATAGTTTATTCCAGAATCTAGGATTTACCAAAAAAAAAAAAGCAAAACAACAACAACAAAAAACCCCCAATGACATTAAGAATTAAAAGTAGAATTTTCTCATTCTCAATTCACTGTAAGATCCAGGTGGTAAAAATGGGATGGAGTTGGCAGTTATACTTTTGTCTGACTTGCATTTTTTTAAAAAGGCAACACTGAAATAAATTTGCATCTTAATTTACTCATCCTCCCAGAACCTTTCATTGATAGCTTTCTCCATATTACTCTTGTGTATATCACTAATGACTGTTTTATAAGACTGTTCCAAATATTGAATAAATTACACATCAAAAACTGTTGGAACAATCGACGATAGTACAATAGTTAAAGAAGTACATTAAACGATATTATAACTATTATAATCAACTTTAAAAGCTCTGCCAACTCTAAAGGAGTATTTGACACAAACAAATACAAGAAAAAAAATGAAAGGGTTAACAATTACATGTAGGTGTTAAGGAATATAAAAGGGTTGCTCAGAGGAAAACCTCCAATGAGTTAGGATGCAGGGAATGGAAAGAAATCAAAATTTTAGGATACCAGACTCAAGAAGAGAGGAGACCTAATAATTGACAAATAGGAGTATGTCATTAAATTATATTGTAAGAAAACCAAAATTCTCAGCTCCTATTTCTCTGTCTTTTCTGTGAAGTAGAATTATTCTTAAATTTGAAAAGGCAAAATAAACATTTTTAAGAGGAGATGGAAATTCAAGATAAGTTAGATGATTGGAGGAAAGTATCTAGGTGATTCATGCTAATGAAATCTCTAGGGTCCATTCAAGTGTCATATAAAATGTCCATTGGATGTGGTCCTTGCTCTTAAATGTTTTTCACATAGCTATATCTTCCACAAGTGTCTCCATTGATTTGAAATGCATTTCCTTAATTTTTCACTCAGGAAAGTGATATTATTTAGATAATGCTTTCCCAGCTTCCCTAGCATATCTAAGCACTCTTTGATTATTCTCCAGTCAGTCTGCTTAACATTTCTTAGAATGTAGTGCAATGTGATTGTATGCCTACCTTTTAATTTACTTATTTCGGTTGTGATCTGAAGATCACAGCCTCTTGGTTATCATTTTATTCTAAGAACCTGCACCAGAGTGTGGCTCATGGTACATTCAGTGTTAATTTGACATAATGTACGGGAGTGAAATACTTGCAGAAGCTTCGGATTCTTGACAAGAAAAAAATTCAGAGAATAAGGTGGGATTTTAACTTTGTTTAATAACTGACCAGTTTTCAGGAATGGAGCAGCAATTGCTGAAGACACAGCCATGATTCATGAGTTTGATGTAATTATATTTATTTATTTGTTTATTTTTTATTTGTGTGTGTGTGTGTCTGTGCGCGCGCGCACGCGCGTGCATGCGTGCCCGCGCGCATGTGCCATACTTTATATACTGTGGTCAGAAAACAACTTGTGAGAGTTTATGCCCTATTAGCTCAACTTAAAAGGCAAAAACTGTTGTCCTATCTGTATAGAACTTAAGTTGAAACTGAATAATCTATTTGGAAATGATACAGTTAGATTTTGCAAATTAATGTTTGATTTAAAATCTGTAAAAATATTATGACTCTGCGATTCTTTGATTATTAATATCTCAGTTTGGACATTTAGATATTACAATAAAACAGCATTTCTAATCTCAGCTGCTACTTCCCCCAGGCAACAATTTCTTCTACACATTGGTGAAATTTGTCCCTCACGGCTGGCCCTGCTTCTATTAATATTTCTCTAGTAATAAACCCATCATATCACTGGTCTCCATGGAAACTCCAAGAGTTGGTTCTTTTGAAATCTTACTGCAAAGCTTCTCGTGTTTTGTTCTGAGCCTTACTTGGGGGGAAGGGAATATGTTTCACAGATGATTAGTATAAACCTAAGTAATCAAAAAGGGGTTCAGTTCTGAAGAAAACAATAATAATAATTAAAGTTGGCTTCTTCAGTGTCTGGAATTCCAACTGGGACAAACGCAAAGCTTTGATTTATCATCACAAAGAGCCACAAAGTCCTCCAGAATCCTTTCTGGAATACCAAAGAAAATCTACCAAGGCCAAAACTACTTCTTTAAGTTTTTTATTATTATTATTATTAAAAACAAATAAAGGCAAACACAAACACATTCCAATACAGAAGCGCATCTGAAGAACCACAAATACAGAAGGTTCCAAGCCCCTGGCAAGTTCAGTCTGCTGCTTTAAACTGCTAGACGTAATTGCAGCCAGTGTAGGCCTGTCCCATGCAATAATTAAGACATTGCTAGTACTACAAAACCAGGGTTCTCGTCTGCAGTGATGCCTCCCTTTGTTTATGTTCTCAGAATTTATATCTTCTTCCTCCTCTACATCTAAATATTCTTTAAAGTTTTATTTTTTTCTTTATGCTTTTCTTTTTATTAAAAATGTTATTTGAGTTCTCTCCTCAGCTCTGAATTGATAAAACATATCCTTGTTTATGTATATGGTGGCAAAATAATTTCATGATTTTTCCCACAATTTACAAACAGACTAGTGGTGTCTAACTCCATGGTTCCATGACTAATGGACATCTGGAGTTGTTAGCTCTGCCTCTGTGAGGTTGAGCCGTGACTTGAACCACAGCTACAACGTGAGCATTTGTTTAACTTCCCTGCCACTTGTGGGACAAAAAGGCAAGAAGGAAGGATGATGTATAGTGGAAGGGAAGGTTTTCATTCTGTTATTTTTAGTATCTCATTGTGTGATATAACACTATTACCATTGCTATTCAACTCCTGGTATACATAGACTAATTCAACAATTCTAATAATTAATTGATAGTTATGTGTGTGTTATTCCTAGATTTTGCTGTTCACTAAAGTCTAGAAAATTACCAGAGTAAAGTTCAGCTCATATTTAGTAATGAAGCAATAAATTAGATGTTTCTATTTTATGACATTACTTAAAAAACGATGCCAATACACACTCATTCAAGACATTACTATGTCAATCAACCAGCTCCATATGTTTCCTAGGATGCAATGTCATAGAGTTAATTCATAATAGAAATGTCTGACTTAAAGGAAGAATTTACGTTTTTACACTATTACTCCTGTAATATACTAATCTCTTTAATTTACATAGACTGTGATCACTGTTATATATGTAAAGACATCAAGATCTAAAAAGACTGAATAATTTATCCAATGAAAATTAGAAAAAAATAACAGAAAGCTAGACCTCTAGATATATTTATTTAAAACTCCCTAAGTGATGATGGCTTGGGATGTAACTTAGTAGTAGAGCACTTGCCTAGAAAATGTGAGATTTTGGGTTCAATTCCTAGAAAAGAAAATAAAAAAATAACCTTACTAAATGATTGTAGAAATGATCCACTTTAAGTACACAAAAACTTTTGGTGTAAACTGCTGGTCTTCAGGTATATTTGTTAAGCTGATGAGGCTGAGGTGGATAAACATATATTTGTAGTCTGTGAGAATATACTCATATTCCTACAATTATATAATTTAGCTCCACTGGTACATAGTAATATAGTGGCAGCTTTATCACATTTAATATGAGGTCTCAAAGATGTTAACTGAAAGGAGTTTACCCTGAGTAACAATAAGTCAGGCCTGTTGAACTTGACCTTATGACTCATTTGGTTCATAGGAGACTGGATATGATAATCTACAGTAAAGTGGTATTTGAACTCAAATAAATAGCACCAGGACCTAAAAAAATGATGTTTTGTTCATCTTGGAAAGAAACAGAGACAGAAAGGCAATTTCCAATTTCTGTCATTCACTGCCAGGTGAATACTAAAGGGAGACAGTGAAAAGATGTGTGGTTTGTTTAGAAGACCATCCAGGAACAGCCTGCTACAAAGAGTGGGAGGAACTGGGGCTATCCTTTTCAGGATCGAGATGGCGGACTCAAGGTTGTATGAGCAATTGTTACAAAGACTCACTCCCCAAAATGCTTGAGGAGTGAGATTTCCTTCAGATACGAATGTTCTTCTCAAGCAGGAGAGGTTAAGTGCAGAACCCAATGCATTTGAAGGAACTCGTGAAATACACTGGGTGTTATTGGATGGAAAGTGGATTTC